AGGGCTCCCACAAGGCCTTGTCACAGAGTAGAGGCACAGAGCCTCATTTAGCCAGGATCTGCAGTGTTTCCTAAATGCTAGCAACTCACACACAGGGCCAGTGCACGTTGCAGTTGTGGTGTCCAGATGTGTCGTCCCAATGATGTAAGTCAATTTGTTCTGAAGAATTACCGTTCTCGGTTGAACAAGACTCAGAAGAAGACTTCTGGCTGAAAATAATTCCAGAGGATTTTATAACTCTCTGCCACTGAGAGTCGTGATCTTGACACAGTTCCGCAATAGCTTTGGAGATTACATACATAAATACATATGTGATATGTAGACACACATCCCATCCTATGCAGGGTTCACATAGAGTTGGGGGAGTCATAACTAACATAAATTAGAAAAACTGAAAAGCCCAAATGAAATGATGGTTTTTAATGAGGCTGGATATTGTAATTAGGCCCAGATGGCTTCTTTTGTAGTAGGAGGGGGTTTTCCAGATAGTCAAAAGATTGTTTGACCATCAAAAGGGAAAACAAATCAAGGTCCTGTTCTCTTTCCTTATCCTTAGAACTTCTTGGAAACCTTGTTGTGTAGGTTCTGTGAACTGTCCAATGAGGCAAAGAAAAATGATGTGTTCTTCATAACATAGATTCTCTGAGAAACAACGTCCACCACCCGGATCCGAGGGCTTCATGTTCTCACAGACCCTTTCCCTCTCCAAGTCCCATCTGTTCAGAATGCTCATTGCCTTGGGGGAACTGTCTCAGGGAGCTCAGGGTGTCACCTTCATTTGCCGTAGAAAACCAGACTCATCACCAAACGGAAGCTCTGGTTCCCATGCGATCAGCCAGGTGGAGCAGGAGTGGTGGTGTCTCCAGGAAGTTCTCTTTGTCCCAGGAAACCAGGGAAAATCAAACCAAAAAAGAATAAAGGGCTGATTGCCAGCAAGGCTGCTGTCTTCAGTTTCCTACAAGACGTCACTATTCCCTGGTATCTCTCGGAGAAAGCTTGTCAGCAGAAAGACTTTTCCTCCTCTCTCTGTCCACCAACTTTTACCCACGTGGCTACTTAATTGGTTGCAGCCAGCCGACGGGAGAATGCAGACACACCCAATCTTTTCTCATAAGCCATTTCTCTAAATCTGTAAAGATGTATTTACTTGTTTTGGAGATCCAAGATTCTTTTTATAAAAAATATTAAAAATTTTCCATTTTAAGTAGACAGATTAACACATAAAATCTGTTTCTCTTTCATTCAAAAACAAAACAAAACCAAAAAAAGCAAAAAAAACAAAAACCAAAAGAACCAATCCAAAAAAGTCCCAAATAAGTTAAGGATTTTCTCGCAGTTGGCACCTAGTTCACAATGGAACGAGGCGAGCTTTGCCTTCGAGGCCCATGCTGCGTTTCAAAGGCACACGTGAAGGTTAGATATAAAAAAGAGCCCTTTTTATCTTTGCAGATTTATTTTTGAGAAGGGCTAAAGATGTAGGTTTATAGTTTAGTACTTAGTTGAGTAAGTGACATAATTCCCTCCCTCTTTCTAGATCTTTCTCTTTTACTTCGAATTAGTGACATACTAAAGTCAACCCATTTATAACAAATGCAACATGCAGACTTATTATGTAGCTGACTAGTGAGTCACACTAAAGCCAGTTTTTCTCATGGACTAGAGATGACTGGTTTGATGTAAAAATCAGAACTTTCAGTAGAAAACTGCCATTTGACACAAGGCTATGTAGTCCAGGTTTACCTGAAACTTACTATGTAGACCAGGCTAGCCTCACTTATAGTAATCCTTTTGCCTTTCCCTCCTAACTGCTGGGAGAACAGGTAAGGAACAGGAGGCCTGGCTCTCGGTCTTAGTTTTAGATGAAGTACCAGGGGAAATAAGTGAAATACCTTTTCTTCTTTTGAACTACCTAAGTGATTGCAGAGGTTTGCTACTTTTTTCTTTAGTATTAACAAAAATTAAATGTAAATTTGAAAGAGAAAAATGTATCTCACTGTTGTTATATAAAAACCATTTTTATTTCCTCTGTCATAATTTACATTTCCCCCCGAAGGATAGCTTACTGTTATAGCTAACTTAATAAATCATCAGTGTGTGAGCATTGACCAACCAGCATTTTGTCTAAAGCTTATCATTTTCTTATTAATTTCAAGTTAATATTGAAGTTACTCAAGGGTTAGCAAATGCCTGAGTGCCTCAACACCTTGCAAGTTATAATACACTTATTACATTAAATTACAAAATTTTATTAATTTTCATATATGTTTAAAATTAAATGTCTTACTCTTGATACCAGGCTTGTGCCATGTGTTCATATAGATTTCTATGGCCTTAGAAGTGTTTTTCTATTTGCTAACTACCTTGTGGAGATGATTTCCACCTTTGGCATGTTTTGGAGCATAGGAGTACTAAAATGGTGACATTAGAACTATGAGAACTGGGACAGTTATAACAGTTTATTTACATGTGGAATTTAAAAAGTTACCCCCGTAGAAGCAGGGAATAGAATCAGTATTGCTAGAATTTGTGTGGGGGAGAGGGAACAAGAGGGAATAGAGAGGAGACAAGAGGGGATAGAAAGAAGATGGGGATAGAGAGGAGACAAGAGGGGGTAGAGAGGAGAAAAAAGGGGATAGAGAGGAGACAAGAAAGGATAGAAAGAAGAAGGGGATAGAAAGGAGACAAGAAGAGATAGAGAAGAAACAGAGGGGTGGTTAATGGGTACATGAGTGTAGCTGGGAATGACTGCTGATGTTCTAGCTCAGTAGAAAAACAATCATTGTCAATGAGCATATATTTCAATATAGATAATAAAGAAGGGTTTGGATACTTCCCAAACAAAGATATGATAAGTCCTTGATGTGATGGACATACTGGTTACTTTTTTCTCAATATTCTATATTATATGAAACATTCAGGGTCACGTTTTATCCCATCAGTATCTAAGATTGTCAATTAAAATGCTTAACAATAAACTTTGTATTGCTTATTACAGAAAGACTAAAGCAGTTCTGAAATGTCAACTGTTAATGCCATGTGTAGCATTTAACGTCCTTAAACATCAGCATTTGGAATAAGAATTATCTAAATCACTCACCTAGCTTTTTACTCATTTATTTGATTTGCTTTTCAACAGCATGATAGTCAGTGTCTTCTACGTTCCTGTTACTCTGGCAGATGCCGAGACCATCCGTGAGAACTTCAGGCCTCGCTCAGATATTGCTGAGGTGTCTGTGGTGAACGTTGGGATTCTGACATTTCCAGATTTAACAACCATTCACTTATGTCCCAGAGTCTAAGTTTCTGGTGGAGGCTGGGGTGGTGCCAGCGGCTACTTCCTGTTTCTTTCTCATGCTCCTGAACCTGGAGAGCAGAGAGACAGAGGCTGTGTAGGGCTGATCTTGAAGAGGAGGTCCTGTCCTGGGAAAAGGAGCCTGTCTTTGTTGGAGGAGGAAGCCTGGGAGCATCCTGTGGAGGTGACTATTGTGTCAAGGAAAATCAGTTTATATTGCCTTGGCTTTTAGTTATTGGCAGAAAGTCAATACCAGCCTCGGAAAGAAACGTGACACATTTCGGGAAAGTACCTCTGGGACTTCTTTTGTTTCTTGGTCTTTCTATTTTTTTTTTTGTTGTTGTTGTGGTTGTTTGTATTTTAAAAAATGTGCCCCCTCTTCCTGGATGAGAAAAAACATTCCATGTTTTCAGGTTAACCAATACAGGAAGGTCTTTTCTGAGAGAATGCCTGTGGTTAGATCTTTGCAAGTTTAGGCTTCTTGGGTGTGGCCTCCGTGGAACGGATGAGAACCATGACCGCAGGTGCCTTTGGATGTGAAGATGTGCAGCAGGTTTGTGAGGGAGCTAAAGGATTATGCTAGATTGTCTGAGTGGATTTCAGGGCAGCATCCTTTTTCCAGTCGACACGTGATGCGAAAAGCAGCTTCACGTCTGCTTGCTGGGCTGCATGGGTTTTCTCACCCACAGGTGGAAGCCAGCTGCTAGACTAGATGGTTCTGCCCATCGTAAAGAGAAGTCCCGTCAACTACTCAGGCATTGATGAGGTTTTAAAGCTCAGGAAACGTTTTCCTGAAAGAAGTCAACAATGTACATCTGAAACTTGGTTAGGAGGCATATGGTATTAGGAAAACACTCTTTTTCATGAACAAGCAACTCAAATAGGAAAAGTGAAAAAAAAAGGTGGAAAGAAGCAAATAGATATAAAAATTAAATGCAATTAAAAAGAACTGATGATCTCCACCTACATATTGTAATCTGTAGTGTGTGTGTGTGTGTGCTACACGTGCATATATGTGTATGTTATGCTGTCTATGAATATTATACTTTAAGATAAGAATGCTGCCATGGATGAAGAGAAATGTGTCCAAGATGCAGATAAAGTGACCTTTGTTGGGTCCCTAGAGGACAGGCCTTCGCACCCCCCCTTGATCTGCTTTGCACTCTTACAGTTGGTGAAAAACAGGAACAAAACCAGAAACAATCTGTTGTTTTCAGCAATGTTTCTAAGGATGTTTACCCCTAAGCCATTGAGTTACCGTGATGAGCTTCCTGCTTTAGCTGTCTTGGCCTCCGCTGCTGAGGGCTATATATACTGTGTGAGAAAGTGGAATAAAGGCTTGTCTGCAGAACCTGAAGTTGTGTTGCGTATTAATCCTGACGTCCCTCGTTCAGAAGAACGACAGTTGCCGTGCTGGTGCAGAGTGAAAAATAGATCAAGTAGGGGTACAAAGGCCTGTCCTCTAGGGACCCCACAACCTTAAAGAGGTGGATTGTTTTAGACCCTAAAATAGGTAACGCTCTCATTGCTCAATGAATCTAACGTGTGGCCCTGAGGACAGAGCCTGGATTGTATCTGGACATGGACTGTAAAGATAATGAGAGCGAAGAAGTGGCGGTGCCCATTGTTGTCACGTGACCATTGTGACGGTGCCCTGAGTGCACCCTCCATGTCTTAGTTGAGCAGGTTGCCTGCATATCATCCTGCCTTCAGATGCCAGCCGAAGGCTTACTTTTTAGTGACCCCAACACTGACACTCTGGTTGAGTCTCGCTACATGAGCCTTTCCATGACACTGGAGCAGGCGTGCACCGATGCCAGCCTTGGGTGCCAGGAATGATGTGAGCTGGTGTGGAGACGATGGATCATGTTTTGGGATGTCCAGTGATATTTCCTGACTCTAAGGTTTTGGATTTCATCAGTGGAAGGTGGAAGGCTTTCAGTCAAGAAATGTAGTGGTTGCCCTCACGAAGACTGGCTATAGCCCTCGTCTTCCGCTGGTGAGCAGAGCCAGGAGTGGATTACAGCGAGGAATACGCTCGCATGGCTCTCTGTTTATCCACAAGGTAGTTAAAACATTTGCACCCAGGCTGGGCTTTACATGGCCCTATCTGTACCAGGGCAAATATTTGTAGAATGGATGTGCCAGCCTGATCCCCTCCCACACTGGTGTCATTCCTGGAACAGCCAGGCAGCCACCACTAAGTATTCTACAAATAAACCCTGCTAAGAATAGCGTCTTCTTTCCAGAGCCTCCGCATGAGAAACTCAACACCCTGTTGGAGCTAGATAAGCAGAACGTGTTTTGAGAGCTTGTTCAAGTGAGACGGCAGAGAATGGAGCCGGGGAGAGCCCGGTCTATGGAGCCAGGAGGAGCCCGGTCTAAGTGTGGTCAGTTTGCCGGATGCTGGCTCAGACTGGAAAGCGCCTTTGACATGCTGCTGAAGGGCTGCCTGTCAGAACCCTGGGGGGTCACTAAAACCCTGACAGAAACCATGCCCAGGAACCAAGGGAAAAATTCCCACTACCATCTTGCCACTTGTAAGATGCTAATTAATAGACTCCGATATCTCTGACACGTGTTCTGCTGAAATGTTTTGGAAAGATAAAATTCAGTCTCTCTCCTTTAACCAGAACTATATGCTTTCCTTAATTATAATTAAATGTTTAGTATTTTCTTTTAAAAGTTATTTCTTAATTTTAAAGATAAGCCTATACCCGGCAGTGTTTGAACAAGGCATGTTTTAGTTGCTCTCCACCCTCTTCATCTCATTGGACCCTCACACCTCTGGGCCCCTTTGCTCTACTCAAGCGTGCTCCCCACAGCTTCCCCTCCCCCATGCTTCGTCCATAGATCCAGTTTGTAGAATTGTCCCTAAACTTGCTATAATTTTGCCATGGATGCTATCCTGGATTTCTCTACCTGAAGACCTTGAGATAGGAAGAACCATTATTCCATGTTCATTGATGGCAAACAGAGGCACAGGTGAGTTGGCCATGCAAGATTAGGTTTGGTAAACGACAGTTCTGGATGTAGCTACCCTGCATTTGTTCTTGTTCCCATGGCTCCACCAGCGTCTTTGTACACGTGACTAATTGTCCACCTTCAATCCTCTCAGCCGTTCTTTCTCATGTATTTGTTTTAATTTAGCAAAGACAAAATCTTCAGGCCATAAAAGGGTCTTAATTTATGGTAGAGTATTTGAGGCAAACATCCGAAGTTTCCTCAAGACTTAGAAGTGTCATTTCAAAAATAACTCTCACATGCCGCTCCGCAGTCAGGAGGATATCGCGAAAATCTTCTTCTGAGGCAGTGCGTCTATTGTCCCGCCAGTTAACATATATGGTTTGCATTTCGACTGCTTGGTGCTGTCTGCTGTGGCCTGAATTATTCTCTCCAAGTTGGAATGTTTTTCCTTCTTTGGCATCCATTAAAAATCATCGGCAACATGGCCGCCCTCCAGAAACCCTTCTGTAATGCTAACCACAGGGCTTGGTGTCTAAAAATAAGAATTGAAAAAGAGATTTAAGTTAATGCCCAGAAAGAAATATCTCCACGTGTCTTTACTAAAATCTGGTAAGGACTTACCTATTCTGGGGGTAAGTGCGTGGGTGCTGTTTGCTACACAGCGTGGCTGATCGTGGGTCCCCACCCCTTTTCATCCAGCTTCGCTATTGATCACTCTTCATTCTTCCCCGAAGGTCATGTCAGTTCAGACAGGGCTCCATTTCACCCGGAGCTCACAGTGCACTGTGAGCAAGCTCCTCGCTAATGGTTCCCAAGTTCTCCAAGTTTATGTGATCTGCCGACCGTCATTTGTTGCTTTCTTTATGGAACTGATTAAATCTACCAAATGATACAACAGAAAATAAAATAGTCAAGGAATGGTGTGGGCAGTTTAAAATTTGTTTGAAATCTAGTATGGAAATTGTAAAATAAATAAATTCAAAATTAATTACTTGGGATCATTCCCCCCCATTCTTCCACCAAAAACTCTTCCAGCTCATTTCATAAGAATGACTGTTTTCTAAAATAAATTTTTCTTATTTGATGTTTATTAATGTGCACTCAGTATTTCCATCTATTTTTCATTTTTTTTCCGAATTTCAAGGCCCTGCTCTACTTGTGAAGCTCTCTAGCCAGTTCAGCCGTAGAGTTTCTAAAATGTCCCAGACCTAGTCTGCTACTAATTGTTCTTCTCCCTCTTCCTCCTTCCTTCCCTCCAGCCTTCCTTTTCTTTCTCCCCCCTTTGTCTTCTTTTAGACACAGAAATTATCATAGAAGTATTTTAGGGCAGGATGTTAAGTATCAGTGATAAATATAACAACTTTCTCTGGGATATGGAAAAAATAAAAATCTGCTTCATCCAATGACAAGACAGCACACTAATATACAAAGATTCCTCCTCCTCCTCCTCCTCCTCCTCCTCCTTCTTCCTTAGATGTAGTTGGAAAATGTTGCAGCTGTTCAATCTAAAGAGTAATAGTCAGGACAATTCTGTACATGTTTTTATTCTTTAATCGTCTGCAAATGCTATTCTACACCCTTGACCATATTTAGATTTAGGTTAATGAGCTTAATCACACACCCAGGTTTGGAATGTATCAGTCTTATTGCTATTTTCTAAAAGAAATTTTAGTTTCTTACTTTCTTGACTGTCTTGCCTAATGAAGATTACTATAGAGTCACACAAGACATATAAATTAATTATTCTTATTGAGAATGCTTTTGCTCAGTGCCTTTAAGACCCAGGTATCTCTTGCTGGCCCTTCTTTGTATTCACAGTTAACGATATCCAAAGCTGTAGATTTTATGGTGCTGGTGGTAAAACCAAGGCCCTTGCATTTGCAAAACACATTGTTTATACATTGAACTATATGCCCAAGCCAAAGTTATGAGTTTGAAATTTATGCAAAAGCAATTAAAATACATCAGCATTTCTTAATAATATAGTTTTAGATTTGTACCAGGGTAAAGCTGTGGCAGGGGTTCTACAAAAACTGCTTAGTTAAAAGCAAGCCAAGTGGGCAGGATTGAAAGAATTTTTGGGTTGTTGACCAGCTAGGCCTTTAGGCTATCTACCCGGTAGGTGTGGAGTCCGAATCCACGTGGGTGCCAGATGAAGAAGGACACTTAAAAGAAATCCCACATTAGCTTAGAATTGAGAAAAATAGACGGTTATTTATTTAGGGGTAGACTCACAAATCAGAATTCTCTGCTGGGACGAAGAACGGAAACCGAATTCCACAGGTGGAAAAGAAGCCGACGCATGCTCTACACTGTCACAGATAGTATAAGAGGCCGTGCCCCAGTGGGCGGGTACCTACTGGCTGTAGGATTCCCTACAGCCACACATCAGCATTTTCAATAATATAGTTCTAGATTTGTACCAGTGTGACCCTTATCAGTTTTCAAAATGGTGACGTTTCTTTCACCATGTAGACCCTGTTGGGACCCAGTCAATCAAAAGAAGAACTCGCAGGTCTCATGAGTCAAATTTCAATATTTGCTTTTTTGTCCTATTAGGCTTTTACTATTCGATTTATTTCAAAGAGATGAGAATGGATATAATCTTGCCAATATGATAAAAACAATTATCTTTAAAACTCTCATCGTTTCTGCACACTTGCTTGATTCCTATCAATTCTTCCTGCTCTTATTCATTTCAGAATGAAGGTGGAATTTTAGTAACAATTCTGTGAAAAGAGGAGGATGCTTGTTGTATGACTTCTGGTGAACCCAGACACCTGTGTTGACGCCTTCCACTGGCTGGCTTGGCTGTCAGCCCCAGATGACCTTGTGGACAAAGCTCCCCATGTTGTTCTCCTCAGCCCTCTCCCAGAAGCTGTGAAATCTTCAGAAACAATTCCAAGTTAGTAGATTGTGCTACCACGCCTTTCCCAGCAGATACAGATGCAGGCGCTGTTCTGTTGATTTCCGAGATATTGTCCCTGAGACTTTCTCGAGCAGAAATGTCATTAGTACATCCAGTTGTGGCGAAGATAAGCGTGCTTGTGCTTCCAGTGAAGTCTGTCCAGCTTGCTCTGGCATGGAGACTGTCTTGTATCATCACTGTTTCATGTGTGACCTAAGGAGTACAGTGTTGGTGCCCATCACGACAAGCTTTGCTTGGCATGAAGGAAACATGACGTAAACTTCAATTACTTCCCACCTTCGCTGACCAACACCTTTAGAAAGGCATAAACAGAGAGCCCAGTCTCTTTGATTAAGGACAATACCTATCAGTTGCTTGTATTTATGAATCTTTAGCAATGACTTGATATTTTATTACATTTGAGTTATTTTAATTAATTTATTTATTAAAAATTTCCACCTCCTCCCCACCTCCCTTTTCCCTCCCCCTCCCTAACTTTCCCTCCCTCTCTAGTTCTAAGAGTAGTCAGGGCTCCCTGCCCCGTGGGAAGTCCAAGGTCCCCCCCCCCCCCCCGTCCAGGTCTATTAAGGTGAGCATCCAAACAAACCAGGCTCCCACAAAGTCAGTCCATGCAGTAGAATCAAAACCCAGTGCCTTTGTCCTTGGTTTCTCAGTCAGCCTTCATTGCCAGCCACATTCAGAGTGTTCATTTTGATCACATGCTCCATCACTCCCAGTCCAGCTGGCCTTGGTGAGCTCCCTCGTGGTCCTGACTTCCTTGCTCATGTTCTCCCTCCTTCTGCTCCTCATTTGGACCTTGGGAGCTCAGTCGAGTGCTCCAGTGTGGGTCTCTGTCTCTCTCTCCATTCATCGCCAGATGAAGGTTCTATGGTGATATGCAAGATATTCATCAGTGTGGCTATGGGACAAGGCCAGTTCAGGTACCCTCTCCTCTGCTGCCCAAGGGACATCTCCTTGGACCTGGGAACCCCTCTAGAGTCAAGTCTCTTGTAAACCTTAAAATGTCTCCCTTAATTAAGATATTTACTTCCCTGTTTCCATACCCACCCTTCCTCCATCCCTCCCATCCCACTCCCCCAAGCTCTCCTGAATCCTCCCCTTCTCCCTTCTCCCTACCCATCTCCCCTTACAGACTTGGCATATGTTGAGTTCCCAGTTTGTATAAGCCATGCATTTGGTGTTAGTCAGCATCTCCCAGCTTTGGGTACTGGAAGATTAGGACAAAGAGGGCACAGACGAGGACTCCCTGTGGTCAATGCTTTTGTGTCTGCTCTGCCCACTCTGGGGTCCTCTGATGGTAGAGCTTGGTGAGCTGGGGACACATAAGTCTGTTGGGATGGCATGCAATTGGACTTCACACATGATCCATCACACAGTCTGCTGTCATTTGGTAAACTGAGCATGGGACTTGTCAGAAACATTTTCTTCAGTGCTCTACTGTGTGCCCTGGAAGGGAAATTTAATCCATATGTGTCAAAGATTCATTTACACTTAAATCACTAAAGCATTGTTCTGAGCTTTTGATGTCTGACAAGTCTTTCGACTTTTTCCAAGTAGTTCTCAGTTCCTTGCCAAGGGCAGTCCTAATCCTCAACAGTAGAAGATGCAGGTTTTCTCCTTGACTCTCAACCCCTTTCCTCCTTCTCTGGGAAAAGTTCTCCAGCAAATTCACATTTACC